CCAAATTAGGGCAAAATCAGAAGTTTCTAGAAAATTGCAAGGTTAACCCCTTTCAATCTGCAATTTTCTAGAAACCTCTGATTTTGCCCTAATTTGGCAAAGGTTAACCCCTTACAATTTTGGATTTTTCATACAAATCTGATTTAGCCCAATTTTGTTAAAAATGCCAGGTTAACCCATTACAATCTGAATTTTTCATAAACACCTGATTTTGCCCTATTTTGCTAAAAACTGCAAGGTTAACCCCTAACAATTCGAAAAGCAAGGTTAACCCCTAACATCTCCAATTTTTCAGAAACATCTCATTCTGCCCAATTTTGATAAAAATGCAGGGTTAACCCCTTACAATTTGAATTTTTCATAAATATCCAACTTTGCCAAATTTAAAAAAAAAAATAAACATTTCATAAACATTTCTTTTTGCCCAATTTTGCTAAAAATGTGAGGTTAAGCCCTTACAATCTGCAATTTTTGAGAAACATCTGATTTTGCCCTAGTTTGGCAAGGTTAATCCATTACAATTTTTGATTTTTTATTTAAATTTGATTTGGTCAAATTTTGCTAAAAATGCAAGGTTATCCCCTTACAATCTGAACTTTTCTAGAAACCTGTGATTTTGCCCTATTTTGCTAAAAAAATGCAAAGTTAACCCCTTACAATCTGAAATTTTCCATAAACACCTGATTTTGCCCTATTTTGCTAAAAAATCAATGGTTAACACCTTAGAATTTGAAATTTTTCATACACATCTTATTTTGCCAAATTTTACTACAAAAGCGAGGTTAACCCCTTACAATCTGAAAATTTCCAGAAAGATCTCATTTTGCCCAATTTCGCTAAAAAATGCAAGGTTCACCCCTTACAATTTGAAATGTTTCATAAACATCTAAATTTTACTAAAAATGCAAGGTTAACCCCTTACAAGCTGCAATTTTCCAGAAACATCTGATTTTCCCCAATTTTAGGAATTTTCTCTTTTTCCCTTCTCTTTTGTTGTTGCTATATTTTGCGAATTAATTCATTCGTATGGAATGCTCATAGTCAATCAAAGAATATTTCACACATAGGGGCCTAAATCATTTTTTTAAAATTTAATAGAGACGCAATGATCGTGCTATATACCATTCTATTACTATATTGCGAATTACTGTATTGTTTGGAATGCTCACAATTAAAGACACGTTATTTGAAAGATGTATCAATAATATTTATATTACAATGTACATCTTTATTCTTTCCCGGTATAATTTATGGCGTTTCTTACGTCAATTGGCAATCGCGTCATTATATAATGATAGTCAAATTGATCAAACGAAACTCCGTTTTGATTATAGTCAATTATGAAATATTCATTGATTTATGATATACACCTTTGTTTCAATTTTGATACTACCCGTAGACCTGCCGAGCAGCTGTAGATATCAAACTAAACCAAAGTATAAAAGATAGAGGGTAAAAAAAATCAAAAAGTTATGTGCTAGTCAAGCTTTCAGGGATCGGTCTGAGCCATAACAATGCCCCAGCCGATCCCTTAGTTCTCTTCCGGGGTCTCGGCGTCCCCGACCAATACACACTTCCTTCCCTATCCATCCATATAACCCCGGAGGGCCAGGCACCATGTAAAAGCAAAGAGCTAAGGGAGGAACAGGGCGGCCCCTAAGCCCTGATCCTCCGAGTGGACCACATGCCCTGAACCTGTACGAAGGCGCCAACCTGGAACTCGCGGACAGTACCAGCAGCAGTGCTTACCGATTAAGCTAAGGTACTGTTGGTACTTTACGACGGGAAATTAAATCTCTTATAGTAAATGATTGAACTCACACGTTAAAAACCAAAAAAGACACCAGCGGGATTCGAACCCGGGACCCCGCTAACCGTGGACGACGAATCGTAACCACTCGGCCATTTCGTTACCTTAGAATTTTCCTTAAACTGAGAAAAGTTGTCTTTATAGGTGAGCAAACGCGCCAGGAAGATTACTGGGTCCATTTGCTTTACCTTAATGGGTAAAAACAAGTCAATATAATGAGCCCAGTGTGTTTGGTTTGTTAGGAAGCTGCATAACACAGCCTAATGTGCAAAACAGTCTTGTGCTAGGCGGATCATTACGCAACAATGAACACCGCGATTGTGTATTTTCAAAAGGCAGACGCGTAGATTTCTTCTCTTTGTATCTGGGCACATATAGATTCTCACCTCCCTCTTCAGCTATTTCGACTTTCTTAAAAAAGAAAAATAGAGACTGTCAGCGAATCTCCGGGAGTTGAAATAAGGATCGTCCCCTCGATAGACCTCAGACTCAGTAAAGTTCAACATTGGGCTCTTTTTCAACAGCTGTTTTTGTGGAAACTTTACATCTGGATTTTTTAGAAGCATCTGATTTTGCCCAATTTTAGTAAAATATGCTCCAAATTTTGCTAAAAAAGCAAGGTTAACCCCTACCATTTTAGATTTTTAATACAAATCTGATTTTATCAAATTTTACTAAATATACAAGGTACACCTCTTACAATTTAAAATTTTTCATAAACATTTCTTTTTGCCCAATTTTGCTAGATATACAAGGTTAAGCCCTAACAATCTGCAATTTTCCAGAATCATTTGATTTTTTCCCATTTTCGCTTTGAAAAAATGCGAGGTTAACCCCTTTCAATTTGAATTTTTTCGTAACATCTAACTTTGCAAAATTTCACAAAAAAAAGCAAGGTAAATCCCTTACATCTGAAATGTTTCGGAAACATCTGATTTTGCCCAATTTCGCTAAAATATGCAATGTTCACCCCTTACAATTGGAAATGTTTCATAAACATCTCACCCCATACAATCTGCAATTTTCCAGAAACATCTGATTTGTCCCGAATTTGCTTTAAAAAAATGCAAGGTCAACCCCTTACAATTTGATTTTTTTTCATAAACACCTAATTTTGCCCAATTTTACATCAGCTTATGCTTACAAATTATCAGGTAACTGGATCATTAAACGGGACAGGTGCACATCGGCCTTAGAGCTCAGACCATGTGTCATGCACTCCTCAATGCATAGATGATGCACACAACACTATGGGTAGTACAGGCATAGCTGGGGGTACTGCCCAAACAATGATGAACGCTTTGCATATGCTTAAAGAATTACCCACAATTCCGGTTTTTACCGTTTAGGTCTGGCTCTAATCACTTTACGCGATCCCCTGACGTCTCATACACTGACTTTAGGCAAAATAGTCAGACTTTCGCGGTCTAGTAACCAGACTTTGACTCTTAACGAAACATCGAATGAAAAGGGAAACATCAAATGCATATTGCAAAAGATCGAATGCAAACATACCGATGAAACATCGAATACAAATAGCTCGAAATGTCAAACATATGTGTAAAACCTTGCTCACATATAGAATATCGCAAATATATTGTAAAACAACACACACAATTGTATCGAAAAACATCACACATTTAATGCAAAAATCGAACATAATATTGAAAACATCGCACATATATATCGTCAAAAACATCGCACATATAAATTGAAAATCGCATATAAATGTAAAACATCGCACACATATATTGAACATCGCACATATATTGTAAAACATCGCACAAATATATTAAACATCGCGCAAATAATGAAAAACATCGCACACTTTGAACATCGCACATAAATGTAAAAGATAATAAACACATATTGAACATCCAACATATATATTGCAAAATATTGAATATTGCAACGTTTGACACGCCATAGTCACCGCGCCGCAGGCCTGCTGCTGGTGCACTGTTGTCCCCGGCCGCGGCCCTGGCGCCCCCCGTAGGTGCAGTACACTCGCGCGCACGCCCACCATGCAAATCGTTCGCTCCCGAAGTCGAGTCGTCATTAGCCTTTCACCAACGCCATCGTGGCTTTATAACTTGCCCGCATTCAAAGCGGCGAACGCGAAGCGACTGGAGATGGAGACCACACATGCGAGTGGCGAAGCCACGAGGGCCTTTTGCAACTTGTCGAGAAATTCTTATGTTTTTCCTTATAATCTCGATTTTTGCTACCCCAACAGGGTAGCAAAATTCCAACCAATCATCAGCCTTTTCGTGCGTGCGTGGCTACCACCCGGACGCGTCGACGCGGACGCGTTGACGCGTCACGTCGGATGCTTGCACAAAATTTAAAAACAAAAAATGCGAGTCTAGTTTTCCACGAGATCGTGACTGCGTAATTGTTATTACATTATCTTATTTGAACTTTACTTATAAAGGTATTTCAACAAATTATTTGAGGGTATGAACTTATTTTTCATCTGAACTTACAGTTATTTGCTCTTACGGTTTCCTTACTCACCCTTCTTTTAAAAATGGAAGCGACTAGGCAAAATCCGCGTTGTGATTGGTTAACCTTCAGCACGCTTCTTATTTGCATAAAAACTATGAATAATTCAACAAAATCAAGTTGCAAAAGGCCTCGTGGCTTTGCCACTCGTGCGTGCTGACTTAATCTTTGCTCCTGTCGCTTCGGGTCTTCGCAACTCCGCCGCTCTAATAAGCCACGAAGGCCTGGGCGAAAGGCTAAGTCGTCATCAAAACGCGACGGGAGTTGTGCTTTGACGTAAGCACCATTCCCGAATTTAGCAAGGCGCCGCGCAAAAACAGTTAATAACTTCACTAATATACAGTCTGGGTGCTAGACTTGTGACGTTGCACGGCCCACATTTACCAGGGGGGACACCTTTAACGTCGTGCAGGGGGACAGATTTAGAGGGGGCAGGTTTACCTAGGTAAAAGTGTCCCCCGGGCAGATTTACCGGGTCACGACCCGGTAGATCTGTCCGGGGGACACATTTACCAGGGGGGACAGAATTACCTGCCACACCGGAAGCGCGCCACAGTGATAAGTTTTGATTCGCACGTGATTTGGTCAGAAAGTAAAGCCCGCCCTCTATTGGCAAACTCAGAAAGTCTTGACCTACACTCCTGTAATATAATCTAAACGTGTTATCATGTGATAACGGTGTTGGTACCAGTCAGTAGTGCACTTTACGAGTATGATGCAGTGCATTTGCATGATTTGGTGGGCAGAGCTAGCACCAGATGATGACTGGATAATGATGGATTGAATCAACGATTTGTTTACTAATTAGTACTACTAGTCATCACTAAAACAAGAACCTTCTGTCACTTAATATTGGTTGTGTTAAGTTAGCATAAACTAAATTTGCTCACGAAAACACGGGCCGCATTTCAGCGAGTATGGGCGAGGGATTGGTCAGCGATTCCGAACTACGGCAACTGCTGTTTATCTTCTGTAAATCCGGTTACAAAGCACGGGAGACATCGAGCAAGGTACCGGTACATGTATGTAGGCCTAGCCTACACCACAGTCAGTGCGACCATGGCGACAGTTAAGTTCCGGATCATCGACAGTTCCGGATCATCGTCAATTCCGGACACTTGTTTAAATAAAAATAAATTCAACAGTAACCAAACATGTTTTTTTTTTTTTTTTTTTTTTTTTTAATATTTTCTTTCAAGTTACACCAATTTGAAGGGCTATCATTTTGCAATAACTTGAATAAGGTGTTTCAATAAAAATATGCCCCATCTTCCCCGCGGGGCAATTTTACACATGTTGTTGTGTACGCATCTTCAATGGAAAACTTTGGAGCTTCCAATTGCAAGACATCATGCTGTCATTCCAAAATGCACATCCGCGTCTAGCAACGTGTGTTCTGTTTGACCCGTGAACAAGATGGCGCATTATTAAGGTGAAACACCTCATTGTCGGGGAAAAGAAATTTGGAAACCGCTCAAAGTGCATTACCCACGATCCAGTTCAGCGAAATGTCTGCTTGTTTTGCATGTTTTGTAACTGGCGGATAGCTTGAGTAACTCTAGACCCGTGAACGTGGCTTGTAAACTACGCCACGCTGTTGTCTATTTTCGAACCTGGCGAACGTGTCCCTCTGACTCCCTCCGTTACACACACTGGACGTTATTTTGCCCATGTAATAAGTACTCACATATGAAGCTGTCTTGAATTCTATTTGTACGTCAAAACTTGCATTTGACGAAAATTGAGGAAAATTCTGGCCCCGGTTCATGAAGTACGTCCGCTACTGCTAGCTGCCATTTTCTCCCAACTGACGCATGCGCATTGCGTTTTATTTTCGTATGATTCGACGGCTGTTTACTGTCGCAGCTAAAACAGACATCGTCTTAGACAAGTTTCAAGTCCTTTCCTCTCTCACCGCACCGCACGCGGTCGCACGTGCGCCTGCGTGTGTGTGCACACACATATTGTACACGAGATGAGCCGAGCAGCCAATCGTCTGCGGGTTTTTTTTTTTCGGGGTTGCGACATGAAACAGCCGTCAATCTGTCCAAGCGACTCAGACGCGTCCAGGGTTATTTGTCAGGGTCAGGTTAAAATCTAATTTCTACACGTTCGTATGGGTCTTTACTGATGGGCAAATTTCGTCGAAATTACACAGCCTAAACAATCGGACGGGCAAATTTAGATTTCTAGGTGAGTACTCAACACCCATACGGAATTATGTATGTCGGATCGATTTCGCCAGGTTCGAAATGAAACAAGAACGTGGCGTTGTATACAACGCCACGTTCACGGGTCTAGAGTAACTCCAGCTGACATGCTCATATTTATTCACATGTAGCGCTGGAGACATAACTAGGGAGCTAGAGTGTGGTAGCAAGAGACCCTTCCAGAATGGCCTCCCAAATTTGTCACCTCTAATATCCCACCCCAGATTTCATTTACATACCTGTACCTCATACATTCAGCAGTCATTCACGAAGCTAATGATCGACTTGAAACAGACCGCAAAAAAAACAAATGTGAAAAACCTTGACGATTTCGGTGGCTTGTCCTTAAAAAAATGTCCAGTTCCAACGGCTGTCGTCCATTTTGTTTGGTTGATTATGTAAATGCATTCATCACGTGATGACATTGAAAAAAATCTGCGCGCGCGATGTATGTGAGTACCACACCGCTTTCAGGCGCCGCAGGTGGGTTCAGTTTTCGTCTGGTGCATTGTCGCGGAAAGCAAGACAACTAGAATGCTTTCAGTATTGAAATGGGACTGTTTTCATCATTTTTTTGCACCATCGGGATCAATTCAACCCAAATACTTTTAGTGAACTGAACGTGAGTATGTCAAGAAGTACTTGGCATAGTCTTGGGGTAAAATATACAGCGGCTGCTCCAAACCTCAACTCCAGGTTGACTGTATATTAAGGATAGAGTTAGCCCCATAAATGTGGCCTATTTACTAGACTGCCTCCGTAAACATAGGCCACACATCCACATGTACAAAAACGTGTCGCACTTTGCCAAATTTTGATTTTCACATTTAGCTTAGTTTATAGGATTTTTTTGCTTTAGAAGCATACTCACCCTCTTTATAGGCTAGTCAGAAAGTGCTGCCTTTTTCAGATGTCTAATTTTTGTGAAATTTCATGTTGAAATTTTGATACGCAAACGTGTAAAAATGAATCTGGAAATTTCACGGAAAATATACATCTGAAAAAGGCAGCACTTTCTGATTAGCCAATAAAGAGGGTGAGTATGCTTCTAAAGCCAAAAAACCCTACAAACTAAGCCTAAATGCGAAAATCAAAATTTGGCAAAGTGCGACCCGTTTTTGTACATGTGGATATGTGGCCTATGTTTACGGAGGCAGTCCAGTAAATAGGTCACATTTATGGGGCTAGGATAGAATATACAGCATGGTTTGCGTTGATATGCCTGTCTATGGGTATTGTGTAGCAAGACCCATAGTTCCAGGGGTAGAGACCATGGAGACAGCAAGCGTTAATCTCAAAAGGAACAAAAAAACATTTAGACTTAGAGACACAACGATCGCCTTGGTTTGTCATTGGTTGATAGTTAGGGAAACTTGGTTGTGAAGTATGCGGATAACAAGTGAATACGCCGTAGAAGTGCTAATGTCATTCACCGCCGGGTTACGCGTTGCTCGGGAGGACGGTTCCACACAAACCTGAACTTATGTAGCAATAGCATGGGCCCACTTTTTCATCGTTTTTCACGCGTTGGAAAATAAAAATAACGGCATTCGTGCCATTCTGAGGGATGACTACAGTCAGCTACGAAGCACTGTCCCATTTCCAGTCTTATTTATTCTATAATGTCTGAGAAATCTCAACTGGAAAATGTTCACCTAAATCTCCCATATGTTTTGCACGGCGAAGTTGGGAACCAGACATTGTTTGGAACGGTCGCTATAGGAGACGACCAGGTGTATTAACTGCACTTTCCAAAGTTGCTTAAATGTTAAAACGCTGAAAAACTTTTAAACCAGTTTTGGGTTACCACTGTAAAACATGCCCCTGACTAAAATGAAATAGGGGCCCATATAACTGCATAATCGCTAAATAGGATTGTAGGGGGAAAAAAGACAAAAATTGAAACTAAGTATGATGATGGTAAATGTCTGGTTTACCCCATGTCTGCTGTCCCTTGTATGTAAGTCGAAAGTATTGATTAGTGTAGGCATTGTAGGGGGCCTGCAGCCATTTTTACGAAACGGCATAAGTCCACTTGTACCACAATTTATTGCATAAGTTGTGTAACATCTCATACTGAGCAACATTTCAGTCAGGACAATTTCACGAAAGATTCCTAGTGCGTAAGTCTGCAGCTTGCACAACAAATTATGGCATAACTTGCACGGTATCATTTTAGGTGGCGTAAGTTGTGGCGTAGCGACAGAAAATGACCTTTATTGTTTTACTAGCAAATCGTGATCGTCGTGGAGCTTGCCATTACACAACTTATCAAGGTTGATACAAGACAATCACAGTTTTGTGCTTGAGGTCAATGAATTGCTATTTTAGTTGTGACAGAATATTTAGAGGTGCCGCACAATTCCAAAGAAAGTTGGACAACACTTTTTATCAAAATTGCGGGAGGAGGTGATACAATAACTGTTTCATAAATGAACAAAATCATAAGAAAAGAGCCATCGTAAATGCTGTTATCATCCCCACACAAGATGCTTGAAACGTTGCGCAGCTACGCCAAGTTTTGTGAAATCGATCTAACTTTATTGCGCAGCTGTACAATAAATTTGTCGCACTGTTTCGTGAAATTGGCTGCAGGTCTGTAACTATTCAAAATCATCCTCGGAAGTACATGTATACATGTATAGTTCAAGGCCTGTGTGTGATTGGAATGAAAGGAAGTTCACCATTAAGTTGATTTTAATGACCGACCACATCCTCTGATTTTGTTTACATATACATGTATGGCTAGAGATTTACCAGTAGGCCTACATGTATCATGGTTTCATTGAAGTGTTCAAGGCATGTTACTTTCTTTCAGGTGGAGTTGATTGAGAGAAAGTGCCTGGCTCTGTTTGGAAAGGACTACAAGTACACCGTAAGTACATGTAGGCTTCTTTCAAAGTTGCAAATGTAATTAAAGGATATAATAAATGGATTACAAAGAAGTGTTATATTTTGATTCTTTTATGATGGCACTTTCTCAAACTGCATTGAGGCATTTTGAAAACCTGAATATTCAGCATGTTCAGAAATGTCAAGTAGTTTGAAATTCAGAAATGTCTGAACCCTTTGAAATCCTCCACTTAGGAGGAACCAATGGCACACCCACTTCCTTGAATTTTTATTTTAAGCAATAAATATGTGTTGCTTGATCCTACAAATCTCTTGATGGATTTTGATAGATCTGGGAGGGTTCTAAGGGTTTGTTAAAGGAATTTTGTCCTGATAAAAAAGCAAAACTTTTGAGAGCTTCCCGTCCTATTTTTATATCCCTTCCTTTAGACATTTGGTGTGTTCCTTAACTCTAACCATTCTCAACCCTTCAAAACCCAACTGCATATCTTTTTTTGGAATCTGTTGGAGTGAGTACTGCATTGGTAAACTGAAATGCTTTACTGGGGTTAGGCATACAACCATAATTTGAGTCCAAGAGTTTGGGTGTAGACCTTACCATATGGTGTTGGATTTTGCAAGAGTGAGGAAGGTTCCTAGTAAATTCACTCAAGGGGTTAGGGTTAAGACTTTGAAATTTGTTCTTTTGCTTGCTTTTTTGGTGTTTTTTTTTTTGGGGGGGGGGGTGTTTTCCCCTGGAGTTAGCATACATGTTCATACATTGTACAAGTACCGGTAGCACATACATGTACATTTGATGTGTAAGATTTTGCATCGCGATAATTTTGGGGGGCAAACTGTACTTTTTGGTGATATCTAGCTATACAGACTTATTAAGCCCGGTTCATACTTCATGCGAAAGCGAATGCGAAGCGAATTTGACGTCATAAAACATTCGCTGCGAAATTCGCCCGAGTTGAAAGACGTTCAACTTTTATGAATTCGCAGCGCGAATACTTGCCACGACGTCACAAATTCGCGTTCGCTTTCGCTTTCGCGCAGAGTATGAACCAGGCTTTAAGCTGTTTTGTGATTTGTCCAATAATGCGACAGGTGATCTACAATTCCAACGGTGAGCTGTGCGGTCACTACCCAGAGAAACTGGTCATTCTAGAGTACATGCAGTCGGGCAATGGACAGGACGAGAAAACTCAACAGAGGTACGTCAACGACAAAATTTGCCTAACCTTGATGACCTGTTGGGCACAGACAGTAGTCAAGGGGCTAGACGTTGTTACGGTTTGATACACGATAACCCGCCGCTGCGATAACCCGCCACAGCGATAACCCGCTGCCGCGAGAGGGCATTATCACGACCAACCAATATCACCCACGAGCCTGTCAGGAACAATGTCTATGTCAATTCCTATTGGTTGTGTAATGCGCGCGCACCTGTTAGGCCTAATATATGCAGCGCGCATTCAACAAAATTCATAGTAGTTTTGAAGCAAACTCTCAAATTTCCTCCAGTTACATAAAAGATGCAGCAAGAGTTTTGTGCAACTTCACTGGTCAGCTCTTTTGTTGTGTGCAGTATGTTCGGGACTGAAAACGGACCGTAATTGCCTGCAGAAGTCGCGCATGCACACTAGTTTTTAGGACTTGGCCTAGACGTTGCTACTGACGAGTTCGTGGGCGATATTGGTTGGTCATGATAACGCCCTCTCGCGGTGGCGGGTTATTACGGCAGCGGGTTATTGCGTATCAACCATACTAACATCTAGCCCCTAGACTACACAGACAGTTGTAAAACACAGAAAATACAATGTATATGCTCAGCAAAAATTAAGTTACCAGCTGAAATGTCATGTACATGTACATGTACACTACTTGTACTTTTCTAACTGGTTTCCAGCTTGATTTTTGCTAGTTGCATAACTTTGCTAAGCACTGTTTACTGCTTATTGGATCTTTGATATTGGGCAGAGGTCTACATCACATCATAAAGTGAATTAGAAACAAAAACTGCACAAACCAGCCCTTGCATTGTCAACAACGGAGACAATTTTTTTTCAAACTCCCGCTCTCTGAGAATCACTTACATAATAGGCCCACAGGTGGTTTATAATGTGTGTTGACAAGTTAATTCACCCACCGGCGCCACCTTGTAGTGGAACTGGAATTGACTTCCTTATTAATGCGTATTTAATTAAAACAAAACTAACAAATAAGCTATAGGCAGTTCAGTTATGTACCTACACTGGTATCCATACCAGTGAAGTCTTAAAGGGAAAATACAACATTTGCAAACATCAAAAAATAAAACTACCAAATCATTTTGAAATACCTGGCTGGACTGTTAGTGAATGACAGTGTAAAGCATCCTGTAAAATCATGGCACCTGGTACATGTATACTGTCATTTTCAAGAAAAGTGGTATTTTTGTATCAATTTCCAACGCTAATCGGCAGATCAGCGTTGGAAAAAACTGGCTTTTTTTTCTAATACTGGCCCCAGTTGACCATCGCACTTGTTTGCAATCGATTACACACCTATGAACGGGTACAAGCCAGCTAGACTAGTTCCCTGACCTTACAATTCCCCAATATATGTAAACTGCTCTGTTTCTTCTTAAATGGAGTCAGGGAACCAGACTACAGGAAAATGATTGTTTTTCTCGTTTTTATAGCATTTTCGAACCCAAAACCTCAAAAAAGTCAGTGTAACTATATTTGCTATATTTTTCCAACCCCCCAATTCCATCCATTTCTGAAAATTACAGCAAAAGCAAATGATGTATATTCCCTTTAAGTCAAAAAAAAATATATCCTCTATGCATGCTGGTTGCAAGATCAATTTGAAAATGTTCATCAGCTCACAGAAGTCCTCCAACTTTTCTCACATTCCAAACAACCTCGATCGGATCTGAGAAGCTGCGAGCCAACGAATTCGTGTTCATGCATGAGTCACGTGATTGTGCTGTGTTATTTCTGGAAGTAGTGTTTTGAGTTTTAAAAAAATCAGCTTTTTGACCCCAGTGACCCCATGATGACCTTTGACCCCAGTTTGTTCATGTGAAATGTTCATAGACTTGTCTGATGGTTTGGGAAAATGGAGTTGCTTCCTCTAGCTATTTTTTTACAAACTGACAGCCTATTTTCTGTCTGTTCCAGCATTGAGCCTCTATATGACATTCAGAAGATCCGTGAGCTGATGTTGAAGTCGCGTTTTGCCCGATGCAGGCAGCGTTTTGTCATCCCCATCATCATGTATGAAGGAAAGGTACGGTAAATGTCCTGCCTGGCATGTATTAACCCTAACCCCTTGGGTATATTTACTAGAAAGTATCCTGAATCCGCCAAAATCCATCAATTTTGCCATGCAAACAAAATTGTGGTGGCCAGTGAGTCCATCGGAATCCACCAGTTAGCCAGGAGTAAATCTGTTGAGATCCTGAATTCATCAAAGTCCCCCAACTGCTCAATATGGAGGTACCCTGAATCCATCAAATTCTGCAGTACCGCTAGGCTTGCTGTCCTGAATCCATCGAAATCCCCAAACTTTTTCAATATGGAGGTATCCTATATCAAGGAAACCAGACATAAATGCTGACTTACATGTAACTTACGTTGATACTAGACAGAAACATTGCTGGTTTGCTTGAAGATGAAACTTCTTTATTGTTTTTGTAGCACATCTGTAGATCGGCGACGCTGTCGGGTGGACCAGAAATCTACGGCCGGTCTGGGCTGGATTATTTCTTTTCAGGTCAGCATTTCAGTGTGTTTTATATGTGCCGTTGGGCTGTTAGGCCAAAAAAAATAAGTCTCCGGTTTCTGGTATGGAGCTTGTCCAAAAAGTGGTGCGGCGACGCGGCTTCTTTTTTTTTTTTCCTGACTTTTTTGCTTCAAATGTCGGCTGATGACTGCAAATGGTGCCCGACTTAACTTAGTGCAAATATATGGGAGTCCAGAGAGGCCACATAAAGCTTATTCTCGATCATAACCCCATCTAAAAACACGTTAAAATTGTGCAGTAGCAGGATTCCAGTCATACCAGTGAGTTTGGCGGTTTTGAGACATCATCTTTCATTGAAAAAAAACCTTTTTCATTTTGCCGACGCGCATGGCTACGGCGACGCGCGCGCATACCAGAAACCGGAGACTTTTTTGGGGGGGTCTTATGTTTGATGTGGTTTTGTCCATTTGTTTAAACACATTTTTGTTTTGTCAATCAGGGCTAGGACTATTCAACGCTGCTATTACATACATGTCAGGCAATGTAGACTTGCATTATTAAAATTATTCTTCGAAAAACAAAAACACACTGACTATTAAACCGTACTGACTAACTACAATTGCGCTTTATTTGAAACTGTTTTAAAGATAATATACAACATTTGCAAACATCAATAAACAAACCTACCAAATTAGTATGAAATACCTTACTTGACTGCAAGTGAATAATAGTCTCAAGCATCCTGTGAAATCATGGCACCTGGTGTGCTGTCACTTTCAAGAAAATTGAAATTTTTGTGTCAATTTCCAATGATGGCCGGCCAACCGTCATTGGAAAAACTGTACAAGAACTATTGTTTAAAATGCAAAGCATTCAGTTTTCCCTTATTAACCTACATGTAACTCCTTAGGCCTTATTTGCTAGGATGTGCATAAGCTTAATCCTCCAATTGGCCTCATGGAAAAATAGCATATACATGTAGCCTCAATCCTGCAAATTCCTCCATTATTTCTTGAATATGGTCCGTGGAGGGATGACCACTGCCTGAATCCTGCAAAATTATGCGGCAGTGACTGTCAATATGTTGAGGCTTGTCCAGTGACATCCTGGAGCAGAACGGAGGATTTCAAGCATAATCCAGGCCTATATTTACACATGGCTGAGCAAAAACAACACAAGGTCCAGCCCAAGACCTTGACAAAGTGCATCCTGTGAAATCAGTGACGCACTTTTGCCATGTAACCTCAATCCTCCAAATTCCTCCACTTTGGCAAAGAGAAATTTGAAGGATTCAGGGCGGTTAGGGTTAAAACATTCAGTGAAGATTGTTGAAGCTCATTCTGCAGCATTTAGAACCCCATTTCAAGCAGGATCTTTTCTTATAATTTTGTTATTACCAGGTGGAGAGAGTTTGGGAACTCAAGCGACCGACAGCGAAGATTTGTTGGCAAGACAAAATGCACCAACCAGGTATCATACAATTTGTGGAGTTTTTATTTAAAATAATCACAAAAGTGAAAGCTTATGAGAAGCCATATATAAACCCATACATGTACCGTAATTTTCGGAACATAAGCCGCGCAGCGTATAAGCCGCAGCACGCAAAAATCTGCAAATTAAGATTTGAAGTCGGCATATAAGCCGCACCGGCGTATAAGCCGCACCGACCGCAGCGGTTTCAATTTTGTAAGGCCTCCAAATTCTAGTCAAAATGCTCTGAACCAGTTCCATTTACACTACGAAAGCTATAAAAAGGGCCACAAAAGTTATATCAAATCATTCACAGTTGATACTCTTACAAACAAATATGGAAATTGATGATGAGAAATAAACGCCGGGAATTGCTGCCGGCTGCCCCGTCCGGTCCCCGGCCTTAAAAGTTAATGCATGGCCCGGCAGCATGCGCCGGCCAATGATAACATTTTCCCCCAGCACTTGAGAGAGTATGCAACCCACCGTGTGTCGTCCGACTGGAGCGCTACAAATGCTGCTTTGTGGCAACAGATGCTGATTTGTAACGTCAAAATTCAAGTTGCGAATGTAACTTTCTTCGAAAACAGTCAAAATGATGCTGAAATTGTTATGGACGAATCCATTCATTTTGTATGGGGTGATTTTTAGCGCCTGTTTTAAGTTTTACATCGTTTCTTGAATACATTTCAAGAAAAAATTATATTGTGACATTGAACAACTGATTACTGAATGAAGAAATGTTTAGAACTCCTTACATGATGCACGCTTTGATAAACCCCATTCCAAACTCTACTCCAGCTCTGTCGTTGAACACATAAACTGGTTCCCGTACGTAGTATGTGCATCTAGTATCATTGAAAATGACTCGAGACTTGAGTTTAAAAAAAATTGACTTGGGACTTGACTTGACTTGACTTGGAAAAAAATGGACTTGAGACTTGACTTGACTTGACTTGCTAATATTTGACTTGGGACTTGCTTTGACTTGGAAAAAAATGACTTGGTTATAACTGTTGTCATTTTGTGATTGATAACCCCAGCAGTAGTACAGGCAGCAATGAGTGGCCGTTGTTTGACCGATTCCGAGGCCAGGACATCAAACTCCTGAAGATGCTCTCAGTGGGCTGCATCTCTGATCTGATGGTGGAAAACAAGAAAGTCAAGTTTGGTATGAAGTAAGTCTAGAAAAGTTCAGAAAATTTTAAATAGGCCTGTATGCCCTCCAACTTAAAGGGACACTGGGTCCTGGAACAGCCCAATTGGGCTACAAAACGCACTTTGAATGAGATGATGTTAATCAGAAAGAACATGTAAAAGTAGGATATAAACATCCACACAACTATCCTTTAAAAACTGGGCGTTTTTGTGTTATTCCTGTATGATGCATGCAAGAACGAATTTCGGGGTCCACTTTTGCGACCCCAAAAACTTGAGCTGTTTGTGTGCTAGTTGTGATTTCATCCGTAAAGTGTTCAACTCTTGCGGACATCAAAGAAACCAACAATTTGTGCATTGGCGATTGGCCATTGCTGTTCCTGAGACACACGTGTATATCGTGCAGTGAGAACGACAGGAAAAATGTATTCGTACTCCGTCGTGTCCGATGTAAACAACCAGGTTTTTTCCGTCTTTTCTCGCGAACGGTAAGACATTAGGTTGGTTTCCTTTCAACCAGGTGTTTGAAATAGGATAGGTAAACAATCCAAAACATGAAATTTCAGGGCTAGTGCCCCTTTAAGATGAGACTAATGTTTATGTCTTTAATTAAATGATTGTGTGACTGTTTTGGAAAAACTTTTTGCCCTGCTACTCAGTGTTTCGTCATCAGAGAAGGTGGACAAGGAACATCGGTATGCCGATTTCGACCTTGTGTCTGTGCCTTACCCCGGCTGTGAGTTCTTCCGAGATTACAGGGAAAACGGCTTCAATGCTGAGGGGCTGTACTACGACTGGAGTCAGGTACATGAACACTCACTTTGTGAAAGTTTATCGTTTTACACCAACACAATTAGGAAGTCCATTAGATTTCTTTTAAAATTTCTGCTTGGATTAACACACCAGGCCTTTTTAGTTTTTAAAGTTATCTGAATGATTTTCATTGCTTGAGTTGAATATCCTTGTAGTCTGACCAGCACTGAAGCACTGTCTTTGTCAAAAACCTTGTCGATGCCCTTGAGCAGGATTTTACGATAAACAAATAATTATTTTACCGAACCACTTATATAAAGGCTCTTAAAGGTAGAGTAGATCATTTGCAGCTATCCAAAAAGAAACTGACCAAATTATTGTGGAAAAGCCTACGTGGTTTAAAGATAGTAATGGCACTAAACTCCCTGTGAAATTATTCTTTCTTGCATGCTGTCATTGCTGTCATTATGAAGAAAACATTAAAAGAAAGCCATTTCCAAAATGTGACCTGTTCTGTCAAAATCAGACTTTTCTGGGCATAAAGTCAAAAATGAGATTTTTGCATATTGTTTCAAAAAGTTCTTTTGCCTTTTGCTGGTGGTTTAAGTTTTGAAACCAGTCATTCCTGCGCAGAGTTATGCTATTTTGAAGTTCATTGTGTCGAAAAGTAGAAAACGGAGAAAATGGCCACAAACATCACAAAACAGTAATTTCTTTAATTGATATACCTTAGCCAATCATCAAAAAAACTATATTTAGAGTTCAAATTATTGTTTAAAACTTTCATTGTATATTTTAGACATGTGCAGGATAACAAATATGCAAGAATTAGAAAATCAAAAAAAAATCACCCCACAGCATTTGTTTGCCCTATCTTGATTTCAACCTCTGCCCAGAAGCGTCTGCTTTTGACAGAACAGGTCACAAATATATATGTCAAGTGACACATTGGGGTGCTGTGGTCCAATGGTTACGGTGTTCGACTCGTGTGCTGTGGTACATGGGTTTGAATCCTGACCGTGGGAACATGGTGATTGCGCTCCTGAGCAAGGCACTTGACTATTATTGCTTCGTCCTTCGGATGGGATGTAAAGCCATAGGTCCCGTGTGTTGTGTAATGCACGTTAAAGAACCCAGTGACACTTATTGCTAAGAGAAAGGGTTTACCCCGGTGTTTCTGGCAGTGGCTGCTTAATGCGCCGCAGCACCTTGTAAACCCTTATAAGGTGCTACATAATGGGTCTCATATTTCTCATGTACTTCATTTACCTGTCTCTAATACTAGACATAATTTCCAGCGCCTTGATTACCTAATTGTTGGTAGATACGTGCGCTATATAAGACTTCGGTATTATTGTTATTATTATTTCCCCCAAGAGTATAGTAAAACATGGTTGTGTGTACATTTCAGTGTTTTGACTGATGTATCTTGTTGTAGGACTTTGTTGATGCCGGACTAAGCATTCCAGAGAACCTTTCCAGTAAGCTGGGTATCGACTGGAAAAGTTACAGGGTAAGTTTGATGCTTCACCCTCACTTGTGAAAATCTGTAAAATCAATAGGAACAGCGTTGTGATCGAGGTACCTGCGACGGAATCGCAAGTCATCACGAGTCCATCACAAGTTACCCAGTCCCCGGTCAACACACAAGCTACACAGACCTGCCAACTAGTACGATTCTGCTGTATTTCATATGGGAATTTGTTGAAAATACAACCGTACGTTTTCCCCCCATAAAATATGGGTTTTGACCATTTTGACACACCTGAAAAAATCCAAGTTCGAAGCGGCTGTGAGTGTAGATTATGCTAGATAAAATCGGCTAAATCAACGTACAAATGCATGAAGCAAGTTTGTTTATGAATGAGGTATATGATCAATATCCTTATTCATTCTAACTGTTTGATTGGGTTTACCACCCGCAGGGAGACCTCAGGTCATATTTTTTAATAACTTAATAAAGATGTATTAAAGTTAGAGCATTGCAGCCACATTTATATGTTCATGTACATTTGTAGCTCGTATATGCATATTTTTGAAAAATACATTTTTTTTAATGAAAAATACAACTTTTTGAGATTCAGAATACAGTTTTTCGATCCCAAAGGTTGGCAGGTCTGGCTACATGTAGTCACATGAACTTTGAAGAAGGCATTCCTTTGTTGTTGGTTCATCCCCTGTTGTACCGGATATGGACCCCCCCCCCCCCCCCTTTTCGCTTTTATTATTCAATTAATTCTTATATTGTCATAAATTTGTCGGTCCTTAATTTGAAGAACACACTTTTCCCATATTACTTACTACTGTTTACCGTACCAACAGTTTGATGCTAAGTGCATCGGCCTTGTTTTTCGCTCGTTATTTATAGAACGTGATTTTTAGTCTCGTCCAATATCTTGCCAAATTTGTGTTCCAGACTTATATAAAATATATGTTTTTGACGGCGAAGATATAGTGTAAAAATTGTTAGGCGTATTGATTAATTATTTTCATCTTTTAACAGAAATAATGGATTTCTGTTGCATTGACACACAATTACTGCCCGGTTGTAAATTTCAACCAAAAAATTTTTACAGGATGCTTTAGACTGTCATTTACCAACATCCTAGTAAGGTATTCCGTAAAAACTTGGTAGTTTTATTTTTCGATGCTTGCAAATGTTGTATATTCCCTTTAATAGGATGTTGGTAAATGACAGTCTAAAGCATCCTGTAAAATTATGGCACCTGGTGTGAAGTCCTTTTCAAGAAAATGGTATTTTTGTAAAAATTTCCAACGGTGGTCGGCCGACCACCATTGAAAAAACCTATTTTTCAACTACTGCTCCAAATTTACCATTTTTGGTCAGTCCAAATTTTGTTTGCTATTGGTTACATGTTCATGAACGGGTGCAGGCCAGCTAGACTGGTACCCTTACCTTAAAATTTTCCGGCATCTGTAAATTGATCCATTTTATATTTAGTGCAGTCAGGGTACCAGACTACTTAAACAGTTTTGTTTTTCTTGGTTTTTCCAGCATTTTTTAACACAAAACTTCAAACATGTCAGTGTAACAATATTTGATCTATTATACTAACCCCTCAAATAGTTTAAATTATATGGAGCGACCCCGAGCCACATGAAGGGCCGGCGCGCGACATCCTTGTGAATGGACTTGTGAATAAAAGAACGTCCACACTCATTCGAAGGGTCATAATTTTAAATCTGATCATCTTATGATAGCGTCATTTATATAGACATTTGGGGAATGTTGGTAGCTACATTTTGATACCCCGTTTGCTACCAAAGACTGTAAATCATCAAACATTGACAACGGTTTATGAAAAATGAAGCAGTTTTAATAAAAAGTTGCATATTTAAAGAGTGCGCGAGTGGAAATTGCTGCGTGACAATGTTACGCTGCCTGAAACGAACGACAGGGAATACGGATCGCACAGTGCTTGTTTGCATAAGAGCACGCGAATTGAATTACCCGCGCTTTGTTGGGGCAAAGCGCATTCGATCGGGGTCAATTACGGGCGTGTGTGTTTACGCCTAGTAAATTCTCCTTGCGTAATCTTAGTTTAGTCACTGATAATAGCCCAAGCCGAAGGTGAATTGTGTTTAAAAGCAGCCAGTGTTTTATCAGTGATTTAAAATCACCCATGTGACGGGCTCTCGACCGATAGGAGTAGGTAAATTGTCTCAGGTACTCGTGATTTTCATTTTTTAATCAGTTCTCATTCCCTGACCTAACAATTCCCTGACGTCTATAAATTGTTCTATTTCGTCTAAAGCATGAGGTCAGGGAACCAGACTACATACATGTACATTGTAAACAGTATTTTTTTTAATTTTTTTTCACTTTCCATTAACACAAAACTTAAAACGGGTCAGCACAACAATATGTTCCGTAAAATACTATCACCCAAATCTGTCCATTTCTGAAAATTACAGCAAAAGCAAATGCTGTATAAAATGTATTTTCTTTAAAGGGAATATACAACATTTGCAAACATCGAAAAATAAAACTACCAAGTTTTTACGAAATACCTTACAAGGATGTTGGTAAATGACAGTCTCAAGCATCTTGTAAAATTATGGCACCTGGTGTGAAGTCATTTTCAAGAAAATGGTATTTTTGTAAACATTTCCAACGGTGGTCGGCCGACCAGCGTTGGAAAAACCTAACTATTTTTTAACTACTGCTCCAAATTTACCATTTTTTCAGTCCAAATTTTGTTTGGTATTGGTTGTATGTTCATGAACGGGTGCAGGCCAGCTAGACTGGTTCCCTTGCCTTACAATTTTCCATCATCTATAAATTGATCCATTTTATCTTTTGTGGAGTCAGGGAACCAGACTACTTGAACAGTTGAGTTTTTCTGGGTTTTTCCAACCTTGTCGAACACAAAACTTTAAAAATGTCAGTGTAACAATATTTTATTTATTATACTAACCTCTCAAATAGTTCATTTCTGAAAATCACAGCAAAAGCCAATGATGTACATTCCCTTTAAGTAAAAAAGTCCATTAAGTTGTTTTTTTCTTGCTATGAAAAGTTTAAACATTCAAAATAGAATCCTGTATTGTTTATGCTTACAATACCTTTGTTTTTCTTTTTTATTCACAGTCTTGGGACCTTGTAAAAATCACCCAGAACTACCTAAAGCTCTTCCTCCATGTTGTTAAAGAAGGTAAAACAGATGAACGTCTCATTTTGGGTTTTAGTTCAGCTAAAGATAAACAAGTATAGTTTCTAAGACAAGATAAGTTTGCGGAAGCACCATGTGAATAAATCTCTTTTGTGAGTATGTGTGGTTCTGAAATGAACCGGAGGGACTCATCAGAGAAACCATCAAGATCATCAAACATAACACTGTGCCCCAAGACATCGGTTTCTATATCAGCGACATCTGGCGCCCCATCCTCAAGTCCAAGTCCGATGGGTCTCCTATACCCTAGGACAACTTAGGTTCAGTTCTCACCTGTGGGTCACCTACACACTGAGCTCCTTCCCCTTTTGCCCCCCCCCCCCCCCCCCCCCCACTGTGTACTGACACGCTCCAGTGATCATCCAGCATCCCTCAGTCAACTTGCATCCTTCTCAGCTTCACTAGTTTCGAGCTTCACCAGTTTGCACCCTTCTCACGCCTCACCGCACCCATCCTTATAACATCACATCATTGTTTGAATCCCTCATTCTCCTGACGACGGGCAGAGCATATTGTTCGAAACGTTGAGTCCCTCTGGTTCTTTTCAGAACCACACATACTCACAAATGAAATTTATTCACATGGTGCTACCGCAAACTTATCTTGTCTTAGTATCTTTCCACCATGCAAACCTTCAAATCTCAAGTATAGTTTCCTTTTGTGGTAGCCTATGATGCAAACATGTGCAGTGTTTATTACCATCACCTTATTACCATCACCTTGTATTGCCATATTAAACACAAGTGAGAATGTTTGTAGTGTCAATGGATGCATTCCAGTAGCTCACCTGGATCCACTCGGGTAAAGGCAGACGGGTTAGCCACGACTAACCACTAGCTAAACCACGGGCCATCACGATCCTCACGTGACGCCCTTAGCAGTGGCCGTAGCCACTGACAAAATGCTTGTTTCAGATTAGGTCTTAGTTGGAGATATACTGCTTTTCAGTCGATTGCAAAACTCAAAAAAGTTTGGCTGGAATTGTGGCCTAAAAAGTCACAATGAGCTCATTAAATAATTACCTCTAGACTTCAAATGAATTTAATTTTTAAGTCGACTTGAGATTACCGCTGTCCGGCTGCCATTTTTGTGCATTTCTTGGAATGAACAACGCATGTGTGTGATGTATTTCCGCCACTGACTCTGCTCCACGAGCAAGCAGGGTCTGTGGTGGCTGACCCGGTTGAGCCCCCTGAATGACGTCAGAGTTAATCGAACGGCATGGGGCTGACCTGGGTCGACCTGGGTGAGCTAAACGAATGCACCCAATATGAGGATGTTGAGGTCAGCGCATACATAGAAATGTTTCTACAGGGCCTTTGTGTGAAATTTTATGAAATATTGGCCTTTAAGACTAATGCGTAGTGAAGGGTTTTGCAAAAAAGAGAAGTCTACAGTTTGTACAGTGATGTATCGTCAAATGTACAGAGTGCTGGTTCAAATACATGAGGCGTTCTGGCATAATGAGACAGAACTGGGCAGAGGTTGAAAAGAGAGTTTGCGGGTGTAAGGAAAGAGAATCAAATTCTCCTTACAATACTGTTTGTTGCACTTCAATTGGACATTCCATTTACAGGTTATGGCTGTTCCAAGTTGATATGTATCAACATGTCATAAAACTAAAATACTGAGAAAAAGGCCTTTAAAGTTTCGAGTTTTGTATTCATGAAAATGAAAGATGCCAATTTATTTTTCCTCAAAAACACTTTATTTCACATTTGTTATACGATTTCTTCAATATATGTGTAGTAGACGTATGAAAGATTACAAATATCAATAAAAAGCTGATAATCGAAGAAAAATAAATCCCCCATTCTGGGTGTTTTTTTTTGGGGGGGGGGTTTGTTCTCATTTTGCCAGAATAACTGACAGATAATATTTCATTGTACATGTGTATCCATACACGCTTAAAAAGTGAAAAAATGACTTTGTTAATTTGAAACAGATTTCTTGGTAGTATTTCTTAAAGAGTACATGTATGTCGTAACTGCCATTTGTGACATACCTAAAATTGTAACAAATATTGATCACACTTATCTATGGGGAAGTATTGCAGCACTTAAATGACTGACAGAAATTAAAACGAAAAGTTTGCATAAGCTTTTGTAGCTACAACTACTTCATCAGATGCAATTTATATAGCAGATCAGTGACTTTAACTGTAATCAGAATATGAAAAGCTAGTTTTGTCAATTTTTAAAGTATTTTGTTTTGCATTTGTATATCAGGAGAAACAGGCCTTCTTGTACACTGCATCTCTGGCTGGGACCGCACACCTCTCTTTGTGTCACTACTCAGGTTAACATTATGGGCGGTAAGTGCTTTAGTTAACGGCAGAGTATATCATATGTCATTTGTGAAAATTTTTTTCGTTTAAAGCAACACAAGTGCTCAAAATCTAAAGAAGGTGCTGAACAACTATCCTGATGAAGTTTTAGCTCAGTGAGTGCTGTCTATTCCTAGAAAACAATAATCTGGGATCTCAATTGCATTTCAAAAGTTGCCGAGTCATGTTTGGATTTGCGCCCGAAATCAGCATCAGGACACATTCTCATTCAGCTGATTGAAGCTACGCAATGTTAAGCACTGAACCAACGAATTATAGCAACCACGTGTGCGCGTGCATCGTGTAAATGCTTGCGGACACCCATTCACGGCTTTGCCGATTTAAAAACAAACTGCTAACAGAAATATCCAAAGATGCGTCTTGAAAAGCATCTTTGGAAATGACCTTCTTTTATTGTTTTCTTCAAAATGACAGCATGCAATCATTTCCCAGGGAGTTTTGTTAAACCAAGTAAACTTTTCATCAATAATTTTGTCAGTTACTTTGTGGAAAGCTGCAAATGATACTCTACCATTTAGGGTTAGATGCGGTTGCATAATGTCTGGTATTTTTCAAGATTTGTGGAACAGTATACCCTGTACTTATTTTATTGGTAATGGTTCCGATAACCATGTGTATGTGTATGCTACACAATGCAAAACAACACTCTGGTTGTTAGGATGCGAAACCTTGAACTTGAACCCCTACACTGCGTCATTTCAGTGCCCTTATTTGCTTAACAGTAACAGTATCCATGCCACAATGTAAAAATTGTATTGATAAATTTTCTTTATATTCTTGACAGGATGGGGTGGCCCATAGGAATCTCAATGCAGCTGAAATCCTGTATCTCACCATTGCCTACGATTGGATGCTGTTTGGGTAGGATTAACATCTATCTATCTGTGTCTGTTTGTATCACTGTATTTGTCATTCTTACACCTCACCCACAGATTTTGTTTTCTTGATTGGCCAAGAGCGCGTCATGTATACTGAGTACTCTGAGAAGAGATTATAGACTTATCTGGGCACAGACTTGCTGTGTACCCCATGTTGGACCCCAGTAGAGTTTTGTTCATCATTTTACCTCATGTTTTGTGAAACACCCCTCTAGCCATGTCTATGGTATGTGCTTCACTCGCGTAGTGCTGAAAAATCTCCTTATATGGAAATCGGCACACGCGGTGCATACTGTGGCGCAGAATGCAGCAGTGTTTTACTGGCATTGTAAAACCACCCACGTGATGGGCTCTCGACCAATAGGAATGGGTAAACTGCCTCAGCCATTTATAAATCCCATTGATGTTGTTCTTTTGTTTTATCCCCAGACACAACCTTTCGGACAGGATAGGCAAAGGAGAGGACGTAAGTCAAACGTTTGTTGGTCCATTATAGTGGTGTTCCCTGGCGTGGCGCACTTCGACGTTTCCCCCGACTTTCCTTTTGCAGTGTTGCAAATCTTCTTTGTTGTCAAACTTCAAATTCATTCAGTTAAATACTGGTACTTTTACCTTAACAATGCTTGCTGGTGAACCTTTGTGAACAATTTCAGTGTCATGAAATTTATTCCGAATTCAAAAACGGTGGCATCTCGGAAACTGGGCAAAAAATAGTGTTCCCTAATGTGGCACACTGGAATAAATCTTGGAAAATCGCAAGTTAACATTTCATAATTTCTTTCAAGATAAATTATTACCTCTACTCACAATACCCAGCTAGAAGTTTGTCAGAAATGTATTTTTTTTATTCCTGGGTGCATTTCAAAAGGTTAACTGTGCACTTCGAAATAAAATCACGCCAAAATAAATTTCTCTGCTGACTTTGTAACGGGTAGATAAAGTCACGATTTATGAACAGGAATAATAACAGCCTGATGAAATTTCATTTTCTGTGAGATTTTAGGTAAAACTTTTGCTCTAGGAAGGCCTAGAGGCGAAAAATCAAAGCGTGCCATGTTAGGGGCCGTGCCACGTTTGGGGACAACAACAATAGTAGCATTACATTCTCAATTCTGTCAAAATCCACTATTGGATTTTTGCAGGATTTTTCACAATTGAGGAAGGTAGAGCAGTAGCCACTGTTATTTACATTAGGTTTCATGTCCCTTTCAGTTTGGTTTCCCTGACATTGGTGGATGTTAATAATTCAGGAAAGTTGCTATTGAAAATGCAATACAAGTGGATGAAGTGAGTTTTGAAATATAAACCACAAAAAATGAAAGTCACTCTCATTGGAGGGGTCGTAATTTTGAATCTGATCGTCTTATGATAACGTCATTTATATAGACCTTTGGGGAATGTTGTTAGCTACATTTTGAAACCCTGTTTGCTACCAAAGACTGTAAATCGTCCAACATTGACAACGGTTTATGAAAAGTGATGCAATTTGAAAAGTTGCAAATTTCAAGAGTGCGCGTTCACACTCCCCGAAAACAAACGGCAGGGAATACCGATCGCACAGTGCTTGCATGCATGGGAGGCTAGCACGTGAACTGAATTACCTGCGCTTTGTTCGGGCACTGTGCGGTCAATAGGGGCCAATTACGGGCATGTGTGGCTACGCTTAGCAATTTCTCCTCACATAATCTTTAAATTTGCAGCTTTTCAAACTGTATGATTTTCATACACCGTTGTCAATCTTGGACGATTTACAGTCTTTGGTAGCAAATGGGGTAGCAAAATGTAGTTGACAAAATTCCCCAAAGGTCTATATAGGGTGTTTCAAAAAAAAAGGAAACCAAACTTATTTTTGTTGATTTCTCGAGTACGACTAAATATTTAGGAAAATGGAAACCACCATCTGTATAACCATGTCTTCATTTTCTACCACGGACTCCATTTTACCGTCACGGATGACTGAGCACCAAGTGATGTAACTGACCTGCCAAAAATGGCATTGTACCATATGCACCATAAGACCAATGGACAGTTATCAGAGAGAGATGTTATCAGGAATGCGTTCACAGCAATGAGAACCAGGGCAGAGATTTGCGTTGAAAGGAATGGGGGCATGTTGAAGGACAGTGGGATCAACGGGGAAAGTGATCAACCTTGATAATTTTTTGGGATTGAATAAATGATTTTGATCATGTACGTCCTGGGTTTTGTTATTTTCGACATGCTGAAAACTGTCAATTGATCTTATGGTGCATGTGGTACAAGGCCATTTTTGGCATGTCAGTTACATCACTTGGTGCTCAGTCATCCGTGACGGTAAAATAGAGTTTGTGGTGTCAAGAAAAAAAAGACATGGTTATGTAACAGATGGTGGTTACCATTTTCCTAAATAATTAGTCATACCCAAGAAATCAACAAAATAAGCTTGGTTTCCTTTTTTTTTTTAAACACCCTGTATAAATGATGACATAAAACGATAAGATTAATAATATTACCCCTCCAATGCCTGTGGACTTTCTTTGTTTGCGGTGTTAAGTCCAAAACAATAGGATACTGTAAGCTCTTTCTAATTGTATTTACTCTGCAGTCAGATCCGAGTTGTATTGATTCCCCTTCTTCCTGTTCCCTCTGTCCACAGATTTTCTTCTTTTGTTTCAACTTCCTGAAGCACATAACCTCGGACGAGTTCTCAGTTGCTGTTAAACGGTAGGATAATAGTTCATCAACTTGCACAGTCCCTGAAATCTTTGATTTCAACACGGTTCAACATGGAGATGTTTGGATAGTGCGAACGGCCAATTTTGTCTTAACTGTTTAACACCTGTTTTTCTGACATGATTTGTGGTTTGGTTTGTGATTGACATACGGTTTAGAGAGGTTGTGGAATGCTCGAAGACATTTCCGTCATTTTTTGGGTACATGTAGCCTAAGGTGTGATGAAATAAAAACGACTATTGTTTGTCATAAAATGAGTACAAAAGGTACTTTTGAGAGCTATTTTTCAAGTACTGTCATGCCTGTTTCGACCCGAATGTGCAATTTGTGTAAAAGTCGTCGTTGCGGGCAGCAAACAAAACACAGTAAATCGTGACGTAATAAACAGGACTCCCGATGCAGAGTAGCATAAACGAGTCCTGTTTATTACATCACGATTTACTGTGTTTTGTTTGCTGCCCGCAACGACGACTTTTACACAAATTGCACGTTCGGGTCGAAACAGGACCTGAAAAATAGCTCTTAAAAGTACCCTTTGTACTCATTTTATGACAGAAACAAGAGTCGTTTTTATTTCATCACACCTTAGGCTACATGTACCCCAAAAATGACGGAAATGTCTTCGAGCATTCCACAACCTCTTTAACTGATTGCAGCATTACTGCTTTCAAGATAAATGAATGCAATATTTAACCAATACATGTGTTTTGGCTCGTGTCTACAGAAACAAGAGGTCCGTCAGTAGAACAGATTCAGAGAGTTGTATGGATGGCATGGTCTTACTAGGTAAGAATTCTTCAATCACTTTCACCCAAACTGCCACTCTTGTTGTTAACCCTTCTATGCAAACATACATTCTGTGCCAAGTTGTCCTTGCAGTCCAAATCAATCAAGTGACTGTTTTTCAACCCTCAAGAATTCCCAGCCCACATAGAGCAGGATCGACTGCCTTGGACTGCTTAAAGAGGTTGTGGAATGCTTGAAGACATTTCCGTCATTTTTCGGGTATATGTAGCCTAAGGTGTGATGAAATAAAAACGACTATTGTTTCTGTCATAAAATGAGTGCAAAAGGTACTTTTGAGAGCTGTTTTTCAAGTCCTATCAAGCCTGTTTCGACCCGAACGTGCAATTTGTGTAAAAGTCATCGTTGCGGGCAGCAAACAAAACACAGTAGATCGTGACGTAATAAACAGGACTCCCGATGCAGAGTAGCATAAACGAGTCCTGTTTATTACGTCACGATTTACTGTGTTTTGTTTGCTGCCCGCAACGACGACTTTTACACAAATTGCACGTTGGGGTCGAAACAGGACCTGAAAAATAGCTCTCAAAAGTACCCTTTGTACTCATTCATGACAGACACAATAGTCATTTTTATTTCATCACACCTTAGGCTACATACACCCGAAAAATGACGGAAATGTCTTCGAGCATTCCACAACCTCGTTAAGTAACTTGATACAGCTATACTTTGACTCCAGGAGAGCTATGACCACAACTTGCCTGCCTTGTCTGTTGACCCAGTTTGACTAGACAAAGTATTTGCTTGACTTATGATCTGACTGCTTGTGACTAGCCTTTGTTCAAAGTATAGCAGGGGAAGTGGAACCAATTTTGACTGCCTGTGACTGCTTAAATAGCAGGAGGGTCAATTGTCTTCCCTGTCCAAAAGTACACTGTACATCAAAAAGGCTGCTTTAGAACATCTTTACTGTGATGTCATCATGGTTTTTTTGGGGGGAGACTAAAGACTTCTGGTTATATCCAGATTTGCATTTACGGACGCAAACTTTTACTGGTAGCAATAATCAATCCCTGAAAATGGTAGCAAAATTTTAATTTGCAGAATAGCTTAAGTGAACTTTTTAAGAGCATAGGGCAAATACAAACATATAGACCCTACCGGTACATTGCTCTGGGTCCCTCAGTGGCTCACAAAACCCTCTGCTAATCATTTCGTGAATTTTTCATTTTCTCCCAATCTCACCCCTGTTGAACACTTGATAGAACTTGTGTCCAATTGCCACACCTTATCCTGAATTCACATGTGTTTTCTGTTCCCTTCCAACTCCCAACACCTAAATCATCATCATGTCGGTTTTAAGGCTGTTGTCCAGTCTGTTTTGGGTTGGCCTGCTTTCTCCCTATGGCTCTCCTCCACTTGGCCCTGTCCGTCGCATCCCTCGCATTGACTCCAAGCAGTCGCATGTCATCTGACACGGAGCTCTGCCAAGTCTTGCGCGGTCGGCCGACGGGTGTGGGCCCACCCACAATTACGTTGGTACACCTCTTGACCCAGTTGACATCCTCCTTTCTCTCCACATGACCAAACCACCTCAGCCTGTACCTCCTCAATACGATGCCGATCCCCTCCACTCCCACTCTCCTCCTCAGCTCCTCGCTTGACAACCTAAATGGTTTTAAAATTGGATATTTTTTTGTCCAGACGTGGACAAACAGTGCCTTGGTAGTAACTCCAGTCTCAACAGCAACATCAGCGTCACCAGTCTTAGCAGCACTAGTTCCCCCATCCTCATCTGCACGGGAGGGCCCCACGAAGATATCACCAACGGCTCCCTCAGGTGTTATGGGTGAGTCTCGATCCAGGACTGAGTTTGGGTTTTCGTTCCCCTAATGTAGCCAGTTCATAGCAAGCGCGGTCAAGCGACCGTAGCAGTAAGAGGGCATTTTCGACAAAATAGTCTTGGGACGTTGGCACTCAGACCAGATATAATCCTTACGTACGCGCATTTGCTTAAATATTCAGTATGTCCCCCAAAAAGTGTTTGTCTAAATATTTTTGAATAACTACAAATCCACAAGGTAATTTTTGACATTTTTATTGTGCAGATACTCTTATCCTTGGCCTAAACCCTATGAGTTTCGTTAAATTCCCTTAAGCCTCACTGCAAAGTTTTCAATTGATCACAGCAACATTTTTGGACACTGTGATCAAGTTCCTTGCCTTAATCAATTTCAGTGCTGTTTTATGTAAGGCTGTGTAAAATCCTTCATGTTGTGAACAAAAGACTGATGTGGTTAGGGGATTGGAATCATTTGCCCTTGAGCATTAAAGATATAGTCCATCATTTGTAATTTGTGCATTTTGTTCGTTTGAAGCAACAAAAGTGTTCAAAATCTAATGGAGGATACTGAACAACTAATCTGATGAATTTTCAGTTCAGCTTCAGCTGTATATTCCGAGAAAAACAGCATTCTAGGATCTCAATTTCAAATCAAACGTTGCTGAATCATGTTTTGAATTATTTGAATTGCAGCTATACACGATGTTGCGCACTGATCCGACGAATTATAGCAACCGCACGTGTGTGTGCGTCGTACCAATGCTTGCGCGCGCTGCGCCGAATAACAAAACGAACTACTAATTCAAATATTCCTACGGTGCATCTTAAGATGCACCCTTGGAAAGGCCTTCTTTCGTTGAAAGGCCTTCTTTCGTTTTTCCCAACGGTGGTCAGCCGACCACCGTTGGGAAAAACCTAACTATTTTTCAACTTCTGCTCCTGATTTACCTTTTTTTTTCAGTCCAAAGTTTGTTTGCTATTGGTTACATGTTCATGAATGGGTGCAGGCCAGCTAAACTGGTTCCCTTACCTTACAATTTTCCGGCATCTATAAATTGATCCAATTTATCTTTAGTGGAGTCAGGGAACCAGACTACTTGAACATTTTTGTTTTTCTTGGTTTTTCCCTCATTTTCGAACACAAAACTTTAAACCTGTCAGTGTAACAATATTTGATCAATTATACTAACCCCTCAAATAGTTCATTTCTGAAAATTACAGCAAAAGCCAATGATGTACATTCCCTTTAACTTTCACATCTGTATTTTCACAAAGTTCTGCCACATGTACTTGACAGGTCCCCCGCCTTGGATAATGGCAAACCCCGCACCCCAACCCACCGGGAACCACCCAGGTCCCCACCAGCCACCTCAGCGACGAGTCCGGTAGCCGTGCCTCGACAAATCAGGAGGTCCTCAGGAGAAGCAGTGAGTACAGAGGACTTCATTCATGAATAATTCATGACTATATGTAGTACATTGTCTCTGATTGGGTGTAAACTCACATATGGAGCTAACCCATAAAATGTGCAGGATAACACTCTGCATTTGAACATTTCCCTCATACTGTGCTCTGATTGAAAAATCTTTGTAATGCCTGTAAATCTCTGGGTGTAAGTTATATGTTACCATTTCAATTTAGTAATCAATCCTTAATTTCTAGAGAGATATATTTCGGTAACTCGTGTTGCAGACTTTCTGCCCGTCTTGGGTGTGAGATATAAGAAACTAATAATTAAACCAAAAAAACTCTTTTTTTGGCATAGAATATGAACCTTTTTCTCTTCCTTAAAAGCAAAAACTTGCATTAACACTTGCATTTGCATGTTTAATCAAGGTGTCAAAATTATGTCTGAAGTCCATAATTTTAGTCCCAAAAGGTTTTATAACCCCCCCCCCCCAAAAAAAAAAACATGAAAATTCATCATATTCCATCTCGCTGGCAGACCATTCAATAAAATGTCTTGTCCCCTTAATTTTGATACCACATTTGAGGTTGTAATGCTTACAGTTTTGAAAATTTCGAATTTCCTTTTTTAACAATTTCCACCTTCTCATGGAATTACGCACAAACTTTTGCTGCTGTTATTTTCTGTCACCTCGACCCATTAGCATCGGTACCACATTGGTTTACATGTACATTGTATTAAGCCCCCGTAAAGTGAGAATCCATGATACCACACAGTACTGGGGCAATTTTGGGCGGAAGCCCACGTGACGGGAAGGACGGTTTGGGTGGCACATGGATAAAGGGTTAACTGTTTACTTCCTCTACCGCCCCAAACCGCCCTGCTTGTTAGTCCCTATCCTGCCACAAACTACCCCAATACTGTATGGTTGTAATGGGTTTATCAAAGAATGAAATTTAAATACAAATTTTAAAAAGAAAACCACGTTTCCTTTGGATATCTTCTAGGCCAAGTCGGCAGCATCATCCACATGTGGAAGGTGAGCATGTTGTTTTATCTGTTGGTTTTTAATTGATTTTTTTTAAAGTTGAACAAAGAAATTGACCGGAGTGGGGTTTGAACCTGTGACCTCCTGATTGCTGTTCTGGTGCTCTACCAACTGAGCTATCCAGCCCTATGTTGGTGGTTCCCCCATTAGGGTGGCATGGGTGGCTTGTGTGTAAAGCCCTCGCCTCTCACCAAGGTGGCCACGGTTCGAATCCTGGCCGCGGATCACATGTGAGTAGAGCTGTGCGTTGGTTCTCTCCTGTGCCATGAGGGTTTTTCTCTGGGCCCTCCGGTTTCCCTCCCTCCGGAAAGATCAAACACTTAAGATCTCAGGCTGTGCTCCGTGGTCATATATGGGTCGATGTGGCCGGCAGCCATAGGCGCCTTTACGTGCCAGCGGCCCGACCACGTTGTAGCCGCGTCCTTTGCAATTCAGCATACCAGCTGCGAGTAAGGATGATTAGCCTCCCAAATTATTATTTGTCATTGTCTTTGTTCAGGGGGCGCTAGTCAGAAGCCATAAACCCGTATATGCCATGTAGCCAGGGATCATGCCCTAAGTCAAGATGCTAGCATCATTAGCAATGCTGCAAACCCAGGAAATGGCAAACGGAGATTACTCAAAGACAACACAGCTTTTTATTACAAATTTTTCAAATTACCCGCAAAGGATGGCTGGACTTGTGAATTAACTCTTGACTTACTTGTCCAAGACTTGTGATAGACTCGACTACAATACCTACTGACTTTTGATAATTCATTGGTACTCATTCATAACTTGAATATCATTTTGCAGTTGGCAACTGGTATCCCAAACCGGCAGTGTCAAAGGTCACGTGTCATCCAGAGACTCACCACTCAGTGTGCATTCCGATGTGTCCAGTAGCTCGAGTGGGACAGCCAGCACCGGGGCTGTGTAAGTCCATATTTGTTTAATGTGTATCGAAGAGAAACTGAAATATGGAAACAAGGTGCCTTTACCGGGTCATGAAAGGAATTTCAACCGACAAAACACGTTCGAATTGACATATATCTATCAGGCTCTGCTCACTGCACGCATGGGCAACAACACATGCTGCACTGCATTTTAAATGAAAATTAGTAGTTCAATTACAGCTTTGATTGGACAAATGCATGCCTCTTAAAGGTAGGGTAGATCATTTGTCATTTGTGCATTTTTTTCGTTTGAAGCAACAAAAGTGCTCAAAACCTAAAGAAAGGTGCTTAACAACTAACCTGATGAAGTTTTAGCTCTGTGAATGCTGTATATTCCTAGCAAAAAACTATGCAGGGTGAGTCAAAAAAATCGAAACCTAAATGTCAGAACTATTGTTTTAGTGAAGTTCTGCGTGTAGCACTTTGTAAATCTATGATATGAAAACCCAATTCATAAGCCTTCTTTTAGTAAAAGAATAATTGAAATCACTCATGTACTTGTCAAGTTACGGAATTTAAACACAACCACCATTTTAAAGTTCTGTCCACGGATCACAAAAAAGGTGTGCGTTCTTTCAGCAAAATGAAAACAATTCACACACATCCCTATGTGATTTGTTTTCATTTTGCTGAAAAAACACTTACCTTCTTCCATAAAAGTACATGAGTGATTTGAACGATTCTTGTACTAAAAGAAAGCCTATGAATTGGGCTTTGGTATCCTAGATTTTGAAAAGGCTACATGCAAAACTTCACTAAAACAATGGTCCCGACATTTGGGTTTCTTATTTTTTGACTCGCCTTGTATTCTAGGATCTCGTTTTCAATTCAAAAGTTGCCTAGTCATGTTTTGAATTGCGTCCGAAATCAGCAGCTGGACACGTTCACATTCATCCGATTGCAGCTACGCGATGTCATGCACTGAACTGACGAATAATAGCAACTGCGCGCACGTGTGTGTCGTGTCAACGCTTCCGCGCACCAATCACAGCTACCAATGGAAATGTCCGACAATGCGTCACTTGACGCATTGTTGGAAGTGACCCTCTTTCATTGTTTTCTTCAAACTGACAGCATGCCAGAAAGAATAATTTCACAGGGAGTTTAGTAAGCTTTTCATCAATAATTTTGTCGGTTATTTTTTGGGATAGCTGCAAATAATCTACTACATTGTATACCTCTAAAGCCATGTTCCCATTGGACTTAATTTTGTAAAAAGTTACAGCAATTGATTGTTAACATTCCAATGTGTTTAAGCTTATGTGTGTCCACAGTTGGATTGAGGTTTGCATAAAGTTTGCTCTTTGACTGATTGTTATGAACTAAATCAGCAAATAAACACCAAAAGAGAACTGAATTTCTGGCAACCTTTGAATGTACATGTATGTACCACTGGCAACCTAACTTGCAACGAGTTGGGCAATAATATGTGCGTTGCATGTGTGGGATAGCTACCTCTACTGCCCTGACCTGTTGAAACATTCACCAATGAAACTACTGCATTCAGCTCATGAATATGCATGAGGTGCAATAATAACTGTTAATGCTCTGTAGGTTCGACAGCATCTGTGAAGAGTCGGAGAGGAAACGCAAGCTAGACGAAGTCCGGATTACCTTCAACAAGCTCTACTGTGCCATCATTGGTTCCCGCTACACCGTTGAATCCGGGGGCATTTCCAGTATGATCGACTCCATCGCGTCCAAAGTAGGGTTCAGATCCGGCCGGGGTACACCGGTATAATGGTCGGGTAGTTCTAGACATTTTTTTAATTAAAGAGGTTGTGGAATGCTCGAAGACATTTCCGTCATTTTTCATAAAAAGGACTATTGTGTCTGTCATGAAATGAGTACAAAAGGTACTTTTGAGAGCTGTTTTTCAGGTCCTGTATCGACCCGAACGTGCAATTTGTGTAAAAGTCGGGTTGGGGGCAGCAAACAAAACATAGTAAATTGTGACGTAATAAACAGGACTCGTTTATACTACGCTGCATCGGGAGTCCTGTTTATTACGTCACGATTTACTATGTTTTGTTTGCTGCCCCCAACGACAACTTTTACACAAATTGCACGTTCGGGTCGAAACAGGACCTGAAAAACAGCTCTCAAAAGTACCTTTTGTACTCATTTCATGACAGACACAATAGTCGTTTATATTTCATCACACCTTAGGCTACATATACCCGAAAAATGACGGAAATGTCTTTGAGCATTCCACAACCTCTTTAAAGGAGCCATGTTGTACATGTTTTAATTTTTTTTGTCATCAGAGGATATATATATATATAAAGATGGGATTATTGAGAGTACAAAACAAACGTGATTGTTTGTCCTTGGATGCTTCAGTATTGCACAAAATGTTTGTATTTTTTTAATGTTACTGTACCTCATACATCTTCATTAACGCGAGCCAGCTTCTTCATGGTCCATTCACCATCACATGTCAGCTGCTATTTTGTTACCAAGCACGTAGCTGAGTAATCATGCACAATGTATTTATGCATGCGGAGATGACTATCGCATGGGTTACCCGTGCGATAATCTACTATGAATGCGCAAACATCACCCTAGCTACTTGAAAAGACAGCAGCCTACACACAGCAATGTTTTGCTGAAACCCGCCAAAAGTTTTGTGAATATGTATGAGATATAGTAAATCATATATAACATGATTTAGTTTGGGTGGATAGTCAATATTAGCTCCCCTCGGTATTGGAAGTAGACAAACTAGTTCCTCATCTGTCAATACCTCGGGGAGCTAATATACAAATATTGACTGCTTCGAGTGGTATAGTAAAACTAGCCTCCTGAGGTGATCTATGGAGCATTCTATTTTCGCGAGGCGAAATTGAATGCTCCATTGATCACTGATATTTGTTTTATAACGCCTCTCCCACAGATTCTGCACAATATAAGCTACCTACTAATTAAAAGACACCAATGCTCGAATGCATTGATCAATCTGAATCTTCATAAAATTTAATTCAAAACTTGTACTGGAACAACAATGTTTTTAAGGCATGTATTTACTGAATACTTTCACTGGCCAATACATTGTACAGTTTCTATATTCTCAGTACCAATGTCTATCCAAACACTTTTGCAAGTTTCAGCAAACAGAAATTGGAAAAAAAATCTAGTATAGTAGCTGGGTGAATGCCTTAAAAAGGCTCAAATGTTCATGCCTGAAACAGTCTTAAACAAATAAACCTCAACTAAACTTTCAAATTTCAAAAGTGAATTGAAAAAAAAATCCACTCCTCGTAGTATGCTGTATTCATCGTATCAAACTGACTGCAAAACAGCAGGGCTATTTCATTTGTGAAAATTAACTGTGCATCCTTCAAATATGGAAAGTACGGTTGCTTGTTGCATCAGCATTAATGTTCACATTTGTAGCCACTGAATATGAGGTAGTACATGTATTGCCTAGGTAAACTGGTCTATGAACATATCTATCAAAATGAGGGACTCTTGAGATGGGGAAGACTAACCCACTGGTGTGTTCGGTGGTGAGTGAGTCCTGCAGCTGATTTCACGAAACAGCGGGTAACTTATACCATGCGTAGGACTTATGCAACAAATTTGTTGCGCAGCTGCGCAGGAAACTTGTTGTGGCTGCGCACAAAACTTGGCGTAGCTGCGCACAAAACTTGGCGTAGCTGCGCACGCAACTTGGCGTAGCTGCGCACGCAACTTGGCGTAGCTGCGCACGAAACTTGCCGTAGCTGCGCACGAAACTTGCCGTAGCTGCGCACGCAACTTGGCGTAGCTGCGCAAGCAGCTTGGCATAGCTGCGCAACATTTTAAATAAACTAAACATCTTGGATGAGGATAATAATAGCATTTACGACAGCTCAACTTGACTCAAACTCACTTGTTCACATGCGGGCTCGAGTATGGCTTTTCGAAGTGATTCGGCCCTGCGTGAGGGTGGCCAGTTCGTCTGTCGATTCTACACCGGTGTCCTTTTGCAGCATCCTGGTGTAAGACATCTTTTATCTCCCTCTTCTCCTGTGTCGGTGACTTTGTGTGCCTCCAGCTGACTGCATCCGCCAGGCTGCGATTGTTTCTCCGACCCTAGGACACCATTGGTTAAGTGGTCCTCCCAGGATATATTGAGCGCCACTCGGAGCATGCGTGTGTAGCATTGAACGACTTCTCCATCGTCGGAGCGAGTCCCATGTTTCGCATCCATAGAGAAGCACTGACTTGATGGTTGCTAAGAAGAATGAGATTTTTATGTTGCAGCTCATGGTGGAGCTCCACACTTTCTTCATGTCAGCCAATGCCCTCCATGCCTTTCCTTTCCTGACCTTGATGTCCTGGTCACTAGAGTTGATCCATGCGCCAAGGTACTTAAAGTCAGGGACCTCATTCAGCTCTCTTCCCTCCAGCGTCTTCAATGGAGTGTGTTCGGGTGTGTTGTAGGTGGAATACTCAGTTTTCTTTGCGTTGAGCCTGAGTCCTACCTTCACTCTGCTTCTACAAGGTGTAGGAGTACTTGCGCCTGCTTCACTAGATCAGACGGCTGCTCTTTGCATAATTATGTTTGTTCAAGAAACAGTCATTGAATCACCTCAGCCTGCCATTTTGAGAGTAGTTTTGTCCGACTTTCTTTGGAATTGTGCGGCAACTGTAAACATTTTGTTGCGAGTGTCTTGTATCAACCTTAATAACTTGTGTAATGACAGGAGCCACGACGATCACGATTTGCTGGTAAAATAGGTCATTTCAGTCACTACGTCACAACTTACTACAACTAAAATGACAGCGCAAGTTACTCCATTATTTGTTTCGCAAGTCGCAGACTTACGCACTAAGAAACTTTCGTGAAATTGCCATAACTGATGTTGCTACGCAATAAATTGTGGTGCAAGTGGACTTGCGCCGTTACGTTAAGTTTTGTGAAATCGAATGCTGCTGGTTCTTGACTGTATGAGAAGATGATGGTCCGACAGTAGACTGTTGAGAGTTCAAAACACTCATGTAATTTTTCTTGCTCTCACTGGTTTGGCTATAATTCTTGATGCTTGTTTCAGAGTGATGTCCAGAAACAGTCATGATATCCCCGGATTTGAACCCAGCGTGATTAAATCTTACCACATCCGGCTTCCGCAGAAATTACCTTCAATTTGTTGAGAGAATTTTTTTACAAACGGAGCATTACAATACCACTTGTTTGAGTTGGTGCAAGAGTTGTCTGTCGGTCTTTGCCAAAGAAATTCACAGTTTGGATGCAGCTTCTGAGTGTACAGGAGAAATGTGTTCATAGGACAGTGGGTAATTCCTGGCACTTCATACATGACACCTGCTTGCCTCTTGTTGTCATTGTCATTTTCCCTGATATTTTTTGTAAGGTGATCGCATTTCATGATATACGACTCTTTTTCATGTTTCTTACATTTTCCCTGCCTCGATTGCAGAAATAAATCATAACGTCTATGAACACCTTGTTCGGAAGACCAGCTGGTGTGGAGATATCTGTTACTGGCGAAGCATTTATTTTGTCCATGTCCCATGGAGTAATAGGCTTTTTATGTTTCACATATCCCTTTCCACTTTTATTTCAAGTGCACTAGGACCACTTTGAAACAACTATTCGATCTCTCAAATGCTTGATCCTTAACAATGTCGACCGGCTTGCTTTCTCTGTCCTTAAAATGTTTCTGCAAACCATATCTGATCGTCTGATCGACTGCATGCTCTTCTTGCTATACTGCTTACCATCGACTTGACGAACTTCAATGTAAAACCTCCGCAAAAAAGTACCGATGTCCATGTTGTTCATTTGCTCAACTGCCGACAATGTCATGTTTCTGTCTTTGCGGTATTTTTCGAACATTTTCATGGTGTGTCTCACACTTTTCTTGGTGTTCTTTGAACCAGTGTAATCAAGGAACTCTGTCAATTCCTCGTCCCTTAGAAGAGCGAATCGATGTTTTGTGCGCTCCATTTTGTCAAGAGGTACGGGGTATACATTTGCTTGATCTTTTGCACACGTACTGTAGACACAATCCCAGGACCTCTGCCAAGCTAGCAACAGTAGTTCTGTCTGCGTTGGTTTCGTTGTAGCCCCACATTGTGGGCTGGCTCTTGGAAGTCGCCACAGAAGATCGAGGGAATTGTGACGAAAGGAAGGGACTGGTGCCTTACCACTGTCTTTGGTGGTTTGTAGATGTTAGCAACATGCATACCTAGCATTTAGGTCACTAGACTATCCATTGGGTTTCACTGTTCAGTGATGATTTGTTGATGATTTCCACTTCTAACCATGGTGGGCATATGTTGCAATCCCATGGTACTTGTGTTGAAGGAAGTTGACTAGATTAAAACCTTCGATGGATAAGTTGGTTTCATCTTCGACATGGGTTTCTTGGAGGGCGATGACATTGACCTCCTCTTGATCAGCGATGTATCTGATAAGGTCCCTCTTTAGCTCTACTGAGCCCTTGGACGTTCAGATGGAGAACGATGATCTTGGTAATAGCCATAGGCTAGGGTATACGTACAAATGTAGGACAACTCATGTTGAATTTGCATTTGGAAAGGGCACCTGACTATTTGCATCTTAGTTCTTTTTTTCTTTTTTCCAATTGAACTTCTTGTAAGTCACCTTGCTCAGTGGGTTCGAGAGTGATAGACGAAGGTTTATGCTTCGTGCGGAAACACACATCTGAATTCCATTTGTGGTTTCGTTGCTACAGGTATAGCACCTGTGTTGCTATGGGTATAGTACTTTTTCCAGAAGAAGGCTGCATGGTATAGTCTTTTTAGAGTGTCGGTAAAAAGTGGTAAAAATAGCAGGTGT